GGGGGGGCGGGGGAGGGGAATCTGCTTATGGGGATACGTGACGTTGGAGAGGCAGTCTTAGGCTACAATTGTCAAAGGAGAAAAGTGCATCACTGGGAGACTTAAACCTGATTTTTAAGCATTAAGTCACTGTTCTCCCTGGAGCAGCTTATTGTAAGGAGATTTTAACCTCTGAAGTCCATCACGGAATGACAGTTGCAGCAGCACATTTTTGGGTGTAGGATGCCAAAGGAGAACAATTCTGAAGGAGTCTTGCTTAGGGGATACTGTTACTTTATTTTGTCTTTTGTTTTGCATCTTCACTGCCCCCTAAGTTGTTTTCCTTTTGCCTTGGAGGTCTTTTTGTGGATGCTTTTCTTGTTTTCCTTTATTTTTCAGAACTTTGGGCTATGTTTTGATTGGTGTTCCCCTAACCTCAGACATTTTTACACCATCTCCCCAATTTCTGTCTGCATTCGTGTCATTCACTTCTTAAGAAAGATTTATTTTTATTTTAATTATTTATTTTATTTAAAGATTTACTTATTTTTATTTTATGTGTACAAGTGTTTTGCCTGCATGTGTGTATGAGCATCATATGTGTGCAATACCTTCGGAGGCAGATCCACTGGAATTGGAGTTACAGACGGTTGTTAGCTGCCATATGGGTACTGGGAACTGAACCCGAGTCCTTTGCAAGAACAGCCAGTGCTCTTAACCACTGATGCATCTCTCCAGAGCCTATTTTTATTTTAAATATATCATTATTATTTGTAATAAGGTCTTACTATGTGACCTTGGCTGGAGTTTGCAATCTTCTTGCCTCTGTCTCTGAGTGCTAGGATTGTAGGCATGTGTTACCATGTATGGTTCTAAATGGTTACTTTATTCTTAAACTTTATTTTAAAAGTAAAGCTTTTATTACTAAAATGGAGAGCTTGAGCTTTTTTTCAAAAACCTGCAAAAATACAAATCTTAGGATTAGATGATAATGTACTAGACAGTCTCACCCCCACCCCCTAAATCATCATGCAGTACCAGTGGGATGTGGATTACTCTGGGAAATGATGAGGCTCACACTGCCCTCCTCTTCTTATTATGAGATGGGACAACCTACACAGAGGCATGGCTTCTTTATTTTCTTATTAATAAAGACAGTAGTTGGAAACATTTTCACTTCTTAGTCAAAGAACAGCCAATTCTCTTTTGTGAGTGTTTGACACTTTGCTGTTTTAAGAACTACATAAGACTAACAAGCATTCCATTCATTGTGACCCAAATGTGATTTAGAGATATTATTTCTGTTTCTACAGGAAAAACATGTCAACATGGCTCATATCGAATCCAGGAGATCCCGGCGAAGAAGTTCTGAGGTTGAAATCTTCGTGGACTGTGAATGTGATAAAACAGAATTTAATGAGCTCATTCAGTCGCTGAAATTTCAGACCACCATTGTGACACTGAATCCACCCGAGAACATTTGGACAGAGGAAGAAGGCAAGGGTGGTTTGTTGCTTGTTGGGTGATTTTGAATTCTGACAAATGTTGCAAAGGGAAAAACACAATCTGTGAGCTAATATTGTTGAACCTGCACTGTGTTTTCAACAGAACTAGAGGATGTGCCTTGGTTCCCCCGGAAGATCTCTGAGTTAGACAAATGCTCTCACAGAGTTCTCATGTATGGTACTGAGCTTGATGCCGACCACCCAGTAAGTGTCTAGAATCCCTTTCCCCAGTGCTCTCCCAGCTCCACCACACTCCAGGTGGTGTGCCGTATTCTGTGCTGTAATGCTTCATTGTAGAGCAATTTCGTATTTATCCCTCATAACTGAGAGCAGACCTTCAAATGATAAAGTTTCCCTGTACATGTGTTGACTGGAAGGAGGTTAGAAAGATGGTGTTTCCACATAGCATTTATTTATAAAATGGTTGGATGGGGAGAATATTCTACACCCTGGAGAATATTTCTGTAGAATTAGACAGCCTAAAATATACTTGCAGATGGTGACCCTTGGAAAAAGACGAACTGAAATTGATCACACCTTTGGGAAACTAGTGAGGACTAGATGTGATAGGGCTCAGTGAGAGAATAAAATTCTTGCCATTTTCCTTGACTGGAGGTAGTTAGGAGCAGAGTTATGTGCTTGACTTTAGTCTCAATGGAAAGGCAGAAGGACTTTAAAAGAAGGCTGTGATGGAAGATGCATCTCTCCCCACATCTACCCTGAATCTATGTACTACCATTTTCTCCTCTACTCCAGTAAAAATGACATTGTTAGAGAAATATGATACTTGGACAAGCACTTCCCATTTTTCTCCCTCGCCCCTCTTTGCATCAGTTTTAATCTAACACAAGAGACCTTTTCTTCTTAAAATGAAGTACAGTGAAGTAAGCAATATACACATTCGTTCCAAGCATTTTCCCTCCCCCAGTGTCTGAAAGTGGGTAAATAGAACATGGAAATCCAAACAGGTCAGTCATGCTTAGTGGAAGCCTTTGGATTATGAGGGTAACAGGCTACAAAAACCATACTATTTAAATGGAGGGAATCTGAGAATGCCATTGTGTCACTACACTCCATGGTGGCACCAAAGAGTGAGCGCAGGACCTGACTGGCAGCAGCAGCACCTTCTTTAACTGAGCTGCACTTCTCAAGTTTGAGATCTGTGACAAGTTCAACATAAGCAAAATTTCAGTCTAGTCATTTGATATCATATACCAATTAAAACCAATTCAAATCTGCCACTCAAACAGTCCAACAGAACCATTTATTTGCACTATTTTTCAATAGGTAAAATCATGCAAAGATGCTGTGTGTTGATTTGCAGCATAAAATAAAAATCCATAGTGATTCACTTGGAAGTTTCCTGATCCTCAAAAAAAAAAAAAATTCAAAAGTGCCTTCAACAATCATTCATTTGTTATCTTTCCCATCTTGTAACCTCAGAGGAATTGGAATTAGTGCAGAAGGTCAATTTAAGAGAGAAGGATGAAAACTGCACAGACACCAGCTGTTAACCAGCAGAACGACCTTGGTTCAGTCCCTCTACCTCTGCACCTCCAGAGTTCTTCATGTAAAAAGTGGAAATAAAATTCTTATTGACCTCAAAGGGCCGTTTGGAAAGCCTAGCTAATAAAGCAACTGAAAGGCATTTTGGCAAGAGTAAATGCTTAATACCAGGAATGCAAATGCTGTGTGAACTCATCCAGATCAATGCCTGGATGGTAAAGGATTTTTTGAGAACTTCCTATGTCCAAAAGCTCCCCTTAGCCTAGTTTGAAAATTGCTCAACCTGGAGGAGGGAGTTCAGGCATGTGACTGGAGCTGCCACAGGCACTGCTGACCTTGCTGTGAAAAAAAAAAAAAAAAGTATTCCAACATCAAGAGTAAATTTTCCTGTGCTTAATTTTATTTCATTACTTCTAATTACACCTGCTTTATGATACCTCCTCTTATTTTCTGTGCAGCCACTTGAAATAATTGTAAGTACTTAGCAATCCCCTGCCTCTCTTGTCGTTTTTTAAACCATATATATTCCTTTTATAAGCACACCAAATGTTCATTTGCAAAATTTGATATTGGTAAGTTGTGTTTTTCTAAGTTTTTTTTTTATGAAGATAGGAGGAGCTGTCTAAGTACTTTTTGTGTCTGAGAATGATTCTAATTCTGAGAGAGACAGAAACTTGCAGCAGGAGAGATCAGAAATGGCTTAGAATAGGTCATTCTGCTTTTAGAGAGAAATATCAAATTTTAACAGACAAAGAAATCACCTGGGAAGTGTTTTCTGAGTGCAGATAGTGATTCTACAGGGCTTGAGATTCTGCATTTCTAGTGGACTCCCAGGCAAGGCTCACACCAGGGGATTTGGGACCACATTTTGACTTGTCACTATCTAGACTAAGAGGGTCTTTGAGAGTGTGGTTCAAGATCCACTCTTAAGACACTTTTCAAAAATGTAACCTCTTGAGGCTCCAGGAAACCCACTGAAGGAGACATTTCACAAACATACCCAGTAGTCTACATGTAAAAGAATATGTAGAAGATTCTGATATGTTCTAAGTGTGAGAAGTAACATGTAGTTCAGGGACTCTCAGCCCCAACTTCCCTGTAGGAATTTTAAAAAGTCACCTGTAGGAATTTAAAAAAGTAGGAATATTAGGTCTTCATTCTTCAGAGCTTAACTCTGAAGCTCTGGAAAAACTGGACTGTTATTCGAACTCTCCAAATGGTTCTACAATTCCACCAGAGCACCAGGGTTGAGCTCTTTGAGATGGCTATTTGAGGGTCTTTGTAAACTGAACTGGGCACACTAGGAGTCAGGGTGAATCCTCAGTTCACGTTGACTTAATTGAGGGTGGGTTTGTGCAGAAGGAACTGTCTTGGTGCTGCTAAGGTTGCCAGATTTTGTTAATAAATATATAAGGTTGCCCAGTTAAATTGGAAAAATTTGTCATTTTCTGAAATTGAAATGAGAGTGGGCATCTTGTGTTTTATCTGGTACCCTATCCCTGGCTTCAGTTCAGAATGGATGCTGTGCCTCTGGAATTGCCAGTGCAGCTAGCTAGCATCCCTTACTTTTCTAGTTCATGGTTGAATCCAGGAAGTTCTGGATTGCCCACAACATTTGTGTAATCACTGCCACTCTAGGCTAATGAGGCATGATGAGCAAATCTCTCTCTCTCTCTCTCTCTCTCTCTCTCTCTCTCTCTCTCTCTCTCTCCCCTGGAAAAGGTGCAGGTGTTTGCTGAGGAGAGAGAGTTGAGATTCCTCTGGAAACCCAGGAAATTATGATGCTGTTACATGATGTCTGGCCTGGCAGGAATCAGGGAACAGATGCTGGGCTTTTCATGGGACATTTTCCCTCTTTTTTCATGGCCTACTTTCCTTTTGAATCATAAGGGTGCTTGGAATTCTTCAGTTTTCCCACCCCAGGTAGTCTGTTCTACTAGTGAGTGTATCTACCCTTTACATCAGGAGACCTTTTTTTTAGGTCAAAGACCCATTTATGGATATGGTGACTGTGATCACAAAATTTCATCTAGAGACATTTTAGGGCTTCACAAATCTGCTAAGAGCCTTAGTTTAAGCAATCGGAATTCACTGCCCAAGAAAGAAAGTGCTAGCTCCTAGGTAGGGGATACCTTCTTTCTATAGGGTCTCAGGGTGATCTGAGGATGTTTTTCCTCTTTCCTCCAATTAGTAACTCTTGTTATTCTGGAAGGAAAGACCACTCTTCATTTCTGTCAGCAGACAGCCCTGTGATGGTTCCTGACCTTGAGGCCCATTCTCTTTCAGCTAAACAAAAGAACTGGGCTATTTTCTACTGAGTTTGGGGCTCCTCTTAAACATTTCACCTTGCAAAAAAAGTATATTGTTGTAGAGGAAGTACCTTGTGGGTACCTCTTTTACTGTTGAATCCTATTGTTCCTGCAACATGTCTACTTGCCTCCATGGTTAGTGGCCACTGCTTCCTGGTCATCCTTGGGGGTACAAGGGTGCAGAGACAAGTAGAAACAATTCTACTAGGGCTCTGGCACCTTGAAGAAACAAACCCAGAAAGAATTATTGATTGTATTGGGAAAGAAAGGAAAATGAGAAGTCTGTTGACAAGAGGGATTGTTAAGTAAACCAGGAAGTCCTCTCAGAAGGCCATTTGATGAAAAAAAAAGACTGACGTGGTGTTTAATTTCTCAGGTGGATGTTGTTAGATAAAAATCTTGCAGTTGGCTAAGACATAATAGACTCATGTGCCTCAGTGGAAGGGAGCTAACCTGCCCTTGCGCATGAATCTCTTTGCCATGTTGCATGGTGTGGCTGTGCATACACGGTACAGCAAAACCTCTTTCAATTCATGCTAATTTGGGGGTCTGATAATTACTCTGAATGAGTTTTTAATAAATGTTACATTTGTTAGTTATTTACACATGTCAATTAAAATTCGGTTAACTTACTGAATAACCATGTTAAAGAGACCTGTTTCAATGACTAGGCTAAGATTAACTTGTGATTAAGATCAATTACTTGTAAATGATACTTGAAAACCTAAAGATATTGTGTAAAATATTAGTTTGATTAACTAAGCCTTGGTGCTTGCCTAATGGAAAGGTAACCTCTGATCTGAACTCCTACACATCCCAAATTAATAGAGCCAAAATGAATGAGGTTTTACTGTAAGCACAATTTGCTTTGCCTGTGCCATCAAGCAGGTCATCTGAGGATGAGATTTACATTTGAACTGAACACTCAGTAAACACCACAGTGATTTTCTTTTAGGCCTTCTGCAGCTAATTTTTCAGCACTTTGTTAAATAACTTAATCTCTTTTCTGTTTAAGGGATTTAAGGACAATGTCTATCGACAGAGGAGGAAGTATTTCGTGGATGTGGCCATGGGTTATAAATAGTAAGTACCTGTATAACTCTTTCTTGTCAATGGCTAGTTAGGAAAGACACATGCTGTGTTAAACAGACCTGTCTTCTCTTTAACTTTTGCAGAAGGCAGACACAAACCATTTTAAATACTCACCAACTCCATTGGCTTTAAATGCCAACACTGATGTTTGACATCTGGGTATAATTGTGAAATAATGAGACCTGTGGGCCACATGCCAAGTGCTACATGGACACCATTGTGTTCGCAGCTCCATTAAGGCAAAGGGCCATTTCTGTCTGCTCTTTGAGGCTCAAAAATGGTGTTTAATTTTACTTTGACTTTTCAATAACCCATTTCAGTGTCCAGCCTTCCCAGTAGAGAATTCAGTTAACATAAGCCACCTTCATAGAAATTAATGTTTACATAGAAAAGAAAACTTCCTATAAACTAGGGTGCATTATGGAAGAATTTAATAATCAGAGAACAGGGTTGAGATGCAAATGAGGTGAGGACTATGCCACATGCATGGTGAGCAGTGGTGATGGCAGGATGAGTGTGTGGCTGCCCTGCTGGAAAAATGGAGAGACCCCTGATTATTTTCACTACTGTAACTTTCAAATGACCTTTTTCCTTTTTCTGATATGTGATCAGCAATATGCAGCTTGTCTCCAGTACAAATGTAAATCCATGCCCAGTAGGAGAAAGATTCTTTCTTACTCTAATTGAGACTGGGTGAGAAGTTTACCTCTCTTCACTGGCAAATTTACCATTTGTGAAAATTTAGAAAATATATGTTAGAAGGTATCGGTGTTGGCCTGCTTTCTTTTTTGCTCTCTCCCTATATCTTCCTCCCCCTACCCCCACTTTGGGTCAATCATTCGTTCATCCCTAACTTCCCTTTATGTTCAGATACTTGTTACTTTCTACTCCCAAGGACCAGACAGCCTTCATCCTTTTTCCACCAAGTTTATTAAACCATATTCACAAAAACTAGGCCTACATGGCACATGTTTTTCTATATTTTTCTACTCTGTTCCAAGCAGGGTCTCCCCCCATGCTGTGACTTTCAAACCCTTACAATGTCAGCATGCACTTGACTTGCCATGGCCTAAGCCCACTCTCATGCCCTCTATTGCCCTCAGTAACATCATTTTCTAACCCTGTGTCCCAGAGTATCCCAATCAAATAGCCAAGAGAAGACCCTGCTCACTGTCCACAGCAAGCCCTGATAAGTGGTTGGGGGTAGGAAGAGCCCTTAGATAGGCTTTCTCTGCTTTACAGGCCTTCTTTATGGAGTAAGATCACAGATCCTTAGAGGGGGTATGGGAAGGCAGTCCTTTAGAGCATGGTCTATCCAGGACATACTAAAAGCTCAGTGCCAGGCAATCTTTTCTCTTAGGGAAAGTAGATAGATAAAAATGTATTTTATGAGATGCTACATGTAATATATAATGTATATGTACATGTAATATAGATGTTTATATAGGATTTTGACATAGGATTTTGTGGACACAATGACTAAAGGAATAGGTTAAGCATAACTTCTTTCTTCTTTGAGGAGCTCAGAAACTGAGCAAAGACACTGTTGTGTTGGTATTATGTATGAACTAATCAGTGTCACGGAACTCTGATAATGGAAAGTCACTGGCTTTGAAGGAAATATGTGGAGAAAGAAGGCAATGGTGGAGGGTGAGGTGGTCAAAGTGTAAAAGAGTTTTTGCATTTCATCTGTGAAGGGTCTATCAGCAGGCTCCATCCGATAGAGTGTAGTAGGGATTTACAAAGAGGATGCATGTGCTGTGTTTGGCACCGTGCCTGGACCTTGATCAGGGATCACCAGTGACAGTTATTTCTACTGTCTGCCTACTATTCCTTGGTTGTCCATTAAGAAACTGTTGACTAAACTGATTCTTTTCCTGCAGACAACAGTTCTTTTTATGGAGAAATTTTATAAAATGTAATTTTATTTCCATATCTGTGAAAAAAAAAGCCAACAAGATATTGATAACAAATTGCTAGTTGCTTTGAGTGCTTCTTGTAAATGGATCTAGTAACAAGGAGTAGTTGTAGAATCAGGAGAACATGATCCCAGGATGCATGGAAAGTAGACCACAGGATCATCCCTTAACTGATGTCCCTCACACTATTATGGCTGTGGTCTACCCAAGTTTGAGGATAGATAAAGGGTAGAGCTTAACTCTCTCTCTCTCTCTCTCTCTCTCTCTCTCTCTCTCTCTCTCTCTCTCTCTCTCTCTCTCTCTCTCTCTCTCTCTCTCTCTCCCCCCCCTCTGGCTTGCAAGCTCATTTTTGGGCTTCCACATCAGCTGTAGTGCTGGTGAAAGAGGGGCACAGACACTAACAAATTCCAAATGGCCCTTGGCCATTTGCTCCAGTTTGCCATGCAGCAAGTCAGCTTCCTTTATGCTTTCAGAAAATGAAGATGCAATTTCTAATTGAAATAGATGCTTTCTAATGCTGATGACTTTGTGAGTTTACAATGCTGAAATGTGTTAATACCACAATTTCTTAAAATAAGCTCATTTTAATGTACTTTGATCAGATTCTGCAAGCCAAAACTGGGACTACTGGTCCGAGGAGCAGATTATTTGAAATTGGGGTAGTCTTAAAAGTCCAGCATATGAGATTCTTGTTGTCAATGCAAAAGCACACTCTTACCTCAAAGAGGATAAAAGTTTGTCCTGGAGCCACATATGAATGACCATGGCCCCGGGAACATAGATTTAGGTCACACCAAATACCATGTTCCAACGTGGGCACAGTTTTATGAGGTTTTTATAGTAATTGAACAAAAAAGTCACAAATCAAGGCACTTTTCAAATACATTGGTGGAAACATTAAATAGGAGGTCTTAGCAAAGCAGAGATCTCAGCTTCAGGCCTCAGATGCTGTCTGATAATACTTAGCCTTTTGGTTGGTGGAAAGAATTGAGGCTGTTGTTAAGTTAATAGATATCAAAAGATTCGTTTTTTAAATCTGTTAGTCTTGAGATGTTAGATCAGACACAGAGGGGGCCAAGGAGTGGCTATTTAGGGGGCTAAAGATAACCCAAGATACATTGCAATTAGGCTCTGGACCCACAACATTCCAAATTCTCATAATCAGTGAAGTTCTAATTAGTTGATCAGCCTTGCAGAAGGTTCAGTTTGAAGATGCAGGTTTTTTTTTTTTTTTTTTCTGGGAGCTTTCATTCACAATGCACATATTTGGTGTTACAGTTAGAACTATTCTGGGGTTGAGGAGGGGATGGGGAAATACTGGTTAAGAAGTATGATGTTTCAGGTAGACAGAAGGACTAAATGATAAGTATGTAAACTTGATTCACAGCCTCATCTTGTACCTCATAAGTAAATATGTGTGTGTGTGTGTGTGTGTGTGTGTGTGTATGTGTGTGTGTGTGTGTGTCTAGTCAATAATCAAGAGAAAATAAAATTAGGGACCATCTACATGAGAACAATTTGCTGTTGGTAATCAGGTAAGGCTTCCTGGACTCTGGGGAGTATTCACAAGCACATGGTCAGAAACATGGAGCCAGATGGAGTACAGGTGTTTGAAGTTGTAGAAGGATCAGCAGGATGTAGTCTGAGGTGTCTAAAGGTAAGGAGGAGGAGAAATGAAATACAAAATAACATAGATGGAAACCACAGCCAAGAATCCCTCCGGAGGATTCGTGTTGAATACTGTATTTTCTATGATAGACTTGAAAGGATAAAACAGGGGGAAAGAATCAACACAAGCAGAGAAAAATGAAAAAATTCCATTCTATGATGAAAAAACAGCAGGCTCAAAGTCCATATCACGGTGAGCTCCAAAGAGGTGAGGGAGGGGGACAGCACCAGCACGCTGAGAACCGTCAATAGACGCCACTCAGGCATGGGTCTGATTGACAGCTCAGCTAAGAAACTTGATTGATTAGCCAGAAGTCTGTAGCCGCCCCGCAGACTGGCCCTCACTCAGCCGCATGCGTGCAGGCAAGGCCTAATTGCTTCACCAATAATAGCATAGGAAACATTCATTAGTGGAAGTATTATTCCTCAGAGCAGACCTGAGAATGAACACCCTGCTCGCGGAGGGCACTGTTCCTAAAGTCTGACATGCAGATCACACCCCAGTCCTCCCCGACTCAGATAGAAAAAAAAAAAAAAAAAAAAAAAAAAAAAAAAAAAAAAAAAAAAAAAAAAAAAAAAAAGTCCCCCAATAATTAGATAATGTGATGTGCGCACAGACTTGTAGTTCCCAGGAATTGGAAGTGCGTAGGGGGCAGACGGCATGTGGAGGAAGAGAAAAATCACGATGGTAATGGTGCAACTGCAAGATGTATCTGAACCTTCAGGTTTTTTCGTCATCGGCACCTTCGTAGTTTAACCAGGCTGCATTTCTATAAGGCGTTGCTGCGGGGGCGGGGAGGGGGTAGACGGTGAGTAGCGTGGTGAGAAACCAGTAACACAGTTTTAAAAAATTAACTAGTAAGCAAATTCATTTCTCCTTGGGGGCTAGTTTAATGATTATTTTTCAACAACTTGCATGCATATTTAATTAAATCATATTTTCGGTGGGGTGGTGGTACTTATTTCAGTGCATTTTATTCTCTTGGAAGGAGGCCTCGAGCTCTGACTTTAATTATGCCACTCTTGTCTGCTTAAATTGATCTAGAATATTACTGTGATTCTGCTCTGTTATGAATATGTTGAAATTAAGGTGACACATAACCTCATGTTCTCAGAGGCTCAGGTTGTTTCCTCTTTGGTTATTATTCACCTCCCTCCAGGGATCTGAGAAGTAAATTGGCAGATAACAAACATCCACAGGTAACGTAAACAGGAGAGTTTCAGCATGTCAGAATCTGTGACCTAAATTAGGACTGGAAAATTCCCACACTTCCCAATAAAACTCACTTGGTATCAAATTCATGGATCCATACCATTTCTCACACTTCTTAGTTTAAGTTTTGTCCCCTGTAAAATGGAGATTAAAAACATCCCCACTGCTTCACTCCTGGGAGTATTTTCAGG